ATACAATTATTTACTATGCAATTATAGTCACAAATGCCAAAGACTTTTCTCTGAGTGCACATTTCCAATTTACAAGGATGGGAAATTCAAAATAGATTCACAATGCATGATGTTGCATGATCAAAGTTGATAAGCTAGTTGAGCTCGGAGAATAGACGACGATGATGAGCTGCGATAATAATCAACAGAGAAAATGAGCATATCGGGCATTTGCGTTATGTGCTTTCGAATCGAGGATAAATGGAGAGGGACCCGAGAAACCTCTCTCAGATCACTCTAGCTAACCCAGAAAGCAATTACCGAATTTCGATGTGACCGCGCCCGCGCGAAACTAACAAAAGGACCCGATGGCGTCCTCGCCTCTCGCGAGCAAGCGTCCAATTCCAAATGTTGCCAGCGCCATTAACTGCGTTACCGCGATAAGAACGGGACGAAACGAGATCCGACGTATCGTCCGCCTCTGTTCAGGAACCCTTGCTCCTTACGATCTTTTCCATCCCATAGCACGATCGCTCTGTCGTAAGGGATTGTGAAACTTCAGAGAGAGTAAGAGAGAGAGAGAGAGAGAGAGAGAGAGAGAGAGAGAGGTCCACTGCGACGGCGAGAATTGCAATCTCTGGAGGACGCTCGCGCATTCTTCGGACGTAACATGCTCAGGATGGTACGCAAGGAACATTCGTAACAACGCTCTTTGCGTATGTGGTAACCTGGTTTTAATAGCTTCTACAACGACGCCCTACGCTGGGATTCCTGGTATTTTCCGCTTAGCATACTTGCGACATGAGTTGGAAAACTGCGGCTGTCTGAAAACTTCGCGCGTTCTCGGATAGACATTCTCCCGTATACTTCTATGTTTGTAAAATTGGTTAAAAGCTAATTTTCTTAATAAAAAAAATGAAGATGTTAAACTGCGCGACAGGAGCAACCAATATAACCATACGTATGTATATTTGATGAATGTACGAAAACGTTAAACAATATTATTAACGCGATTTTACATCCAGGTACATCGCGTGTGATGTAATAACACCATAACGTCGAGGCTGAGAGGGATTTACTGCAAGAGCCATGAAAGCTGTATAATACAGCGTATTACGATCGTCGGGATACGTGATAACAACTGCACGATAATTATTACAGCCGCTCTCTCGAGCGATAAACCGAGATTGTGCGCGCAGCTCCTTGTATGACGGGCCTATAATTTGTCGACGTCCGAAAATCACCGTGGCCTTCTCGTGGTTCTCGAATTTTGTCTCCCTAAATCATTCGCGCCACCGCACGCGGGTTCGGTTCGGTGGACGTTTGTCCTGGTTATTATCAGCTTAAACGTACAGCGGACAAATGCTGGAGCGTCGTAAAATATCAGCTTGCACGTTGCTGTTCAATGTATCGCGTTACAAGCGCCGCAATACGGCCGCGTACAGCGGAGTGATACTAATCAACGGAGTGTCCGCGCCCCTTTCCATTGTGTCAAACCATTTATTACCACGTAGGTTTCATCCTCTTACCGCGCGGAATACCGTACCTTTCTACGTTTGCGTACGACGAGTTAATCATACGTTACGTTCACCGCGACCTACCCACACCCTGGCGTGCCCGCGCTGCGCGTCGAATTTACGAGACGAGCACATAATTAAGTCCGTGTAACTTTGGGTTGTGCGTTAAGGAGAGCCTGATTAATCGCTCGTCCACTTATCGTTCAATTATCAAGCCTCACGATCCTATATTGGCGGTAACTTTCTGAATCGTGCTTGTTTACCGATTCATTTAATTATATATCCTAGGAAGATTCTAAGATATACGGTTTCATGCAAAAGAGTATTACCGTATTACCTACTTAACTGTAATTTTATGAAAAAGAGAAAATTAGATATCGCAGTGTAGAGAAAAAACTTACTATAAAATAATTCTGAGATATTTTATATATATTATAATATATATATATAAAATGCCTTTTTTGTTCTATCGTTGGCTCGCTGCTT